CTTGCAGCAATCGAAACGACTGATTGCTTTTGCTTTATTTTTTAAGATATCCGGACGGTCGTTTTTATCTTGTTCCGCTCCAGTAGGGCGAAAATGTGAGATTTCACTCGATTATCCTCATAAAACATGCGATCTCGTACTCCTTAGTTTTTCACCCAGCAACTGACTCATCATTTCCTCAAACCTTTACTGCTTATTGTGCCGAAGCAATCATTTGCGAGAGTTAACCGGCGTTTGTACCATTGTTGATCACTCTTCCACTTAAAGGAGAATTCACGATGAAAAAGCAACCCATTTCAAAGGGATGGGAGTGGTACACGAAAGAAGGAAGAACCATGAGAAACGGCCCAGAACCCGAGAAATGGGACCCCTTCCTTGCCCGTTGATTTCCGCATTGATGCGACTCTCATCGTTGCCCTCTTCAACACCTGAGTGATTAGATAGTCGGTGGGCGTACCCGCCAACCGCGCCAAGAGTGAGCCATGCTAGATCGCCGAGGTCAAATCTTTCGCTGCCAATTGCGCGTCGTCCGCACCCTCAGGAGGTCCGCCTGTCTCCCAACTAGGCAATTTTCCCCTTCTTCGACCTTCATTCTTATCGTGAATCCTCCTTCAAGTTCTACAATAGCTGGCCAAATCCGGAGGTGTGAAAGGCTTGATCGAGCCGCGCCAAGTTCGATCCAACAGGCTGTATACAAATTAGTGTTCTCCTCCTCACAGTTCCGTGCATTATTCCTTAGAACTTTTCTAGTAATAATGAATCTTCGCCAACCATTTATTAATCATAAATTTTTCTATTATTTTATTTTATACTTATCTTTTACTATTTATATGTCTACATATTTTTAGTATAATTTTTCGAGAGGGCATATCTTTTAATATTGATGTATACATTTTAATCTCATTTGAGTTTTAGAATATAATGGAAAACCGCTTTAAAAAATCTTTACTCATGTCCCTGACTATAGTTTTGTGAAAAGATCCCTCATCACCACGCTTCGAACATCGCCGATGACATACATCGAGCGTAAGCGTAGCGAATGGTATTGTAATAAGAGGCAGTTCTGATACAAATACATTTTAGCTACAAGCTATTCTTTACAATTAGAAAATGAAGCAATAGGCGCTCATTATTCGCTTTTTAAGATGCGCCATGACTTATGATTCTACTCGAAATCGTAACCTCATTGGAATGCGATTCGGCCCGTATTTAGGCTTGTGGGTTCCAGCTGCCCGATAAATCAGCGTTTTTTTACCTACCAGACAAGGGTACAACTTAACTGATACGGGACGGATAGAAAGCTTGCTCAGCCCAGGCCTTCTTCGATCTAGTATTTCAGTTCTAGCCGAGCGGCGCCACTTGCCTTTACGCAAACCTCAACCCAGTAACAAACACTAACAAGAAAGGTCTTCCAGGACATGGAGTGCTTTTTCGAAATGGTTTTCTGCATATTGTAGGGTCTCTTGCGAAGAAAACAGAACCATGATCCATTTTCCTGAACGCCTCCAGGAATGTCAAAACAGTGGTGAAGAAATGGTCCAGAGTTCGATCCCCGGTGATGACTAATTTTTGCAATATAGTTTGGCGCCCCCAGATTGCCGCCAAATGGCGCCATCGTCGAGAATAGATGTCATTGTCGTGTTTTGCGGCAATTTGGAGGCGCCAACATAAATTGCAAAAATTTGTCATCACGGAGGATCGAACTTTGGACCATTTCTTCCCCGCTGTTTTGACATTCCTGGGGGCGTTCAGGAAAAATGGACCATGGTTCTGTGTTCCTCACATGAGCCTCTACAACATTCAGGTAACCATTTTGAAAAAAACGCTCCATGTCCTGAAAGACCCCCTTGTAAGTGGTGATGCGTGTTAGCTTGCGTTTCTGCTTTGATTCTCCTATGCGTCTTTTACGCAACTAACCATAAGATCGATTACAAGAGGACTTCACACAGAAACGGAGAACCATAGTTTATGGATTCTATTATTTGATATTCATTTTTATTTTATTTATTGTTTATTAATAATAGAATTTTTAGGCGCTACCACAAGATACGGGGGAATTGTGGTGGCGATGCACTTAGAACCGCGTAAAACTTTCCTTTCTGCTAGAAACGCGGGGGGACTAAGCCGTAAGCTCGAGAGGAGTTTTCTCGAGGATGCGTGAGCAGTTTTCATTTGCCTCGGAGTTCCTGACCCTTCCTAGGCTTGCTTTTATACCGATGCCCCCGCGTATTGCGATAGCACCGTTTATTTTTTTTACAAAATTTCTTTATTAAACTCTTCGTCCTCTCCTTTATTGTTATTTCCCTTTCAGATTTTTTTCAATTTTATTTTTGTTCATTCTAGGTGCTTCTCTTTACATTCACCATTTCAGCTTTAAATCGGCGCCCTTTTTGTGCCGCACCTCGCTCTTTCACTCTTTCCAATGATATCGAACAACAATGCGACTCGAAAGTAATATCTACTTCTACCTCGTTGTGAGAACTGTTTGTGCAGTAAGTCGTCACTTCACTCATTTATCTTTGAAGGAAGCAAATTTTAATTACCTCCAAAAAAAGCAGAAAAGCAGCGAAGGATTGAGTTGATCTCTTCCGTGCCTGCCATGCATTTGATTCCCGTTCATAGTCGGCGGAGTGTGTAACCCATTCGCGACCGCGCGCGTCGGAGAACCGCCCGTTCGGACTGGCGCAATTCAGGGCGACAGCGAAATGTCTGCCGTTTTCCCTTGTGATTCTTTTTTGGAATGGGGTGGACTTAAAAATGAATTACTCCCGCTGACACTTCCTGTGGATGTTTTGATTGCCATGATCGAATATTACGTTCTTTTTCAGCGTGGGCGCCAGAATGGGATCAAATTGCACCAACATGGCGCAACATCTGGTTCCACCAAATCCATTGAAAACTTGATACAGGAACTATTCAGCATTCTGATCACAAATGCCGCATTCGTTTTCAGCGCCAGCGCCAACTTGGCGCCAATTGTTGCCAGCCTCAAATTGACGTCAAAATTTGAGGCTGGCAACAATTGGCGCCAATTCACGCCGGCAGCAAAAACGAATGTCATATTTGTGATCAAGATGCTGAATAACACCTATATGCAAGTTTTTAGTGAATTTTGGTAAAACAGATGTCGCGCCATGCCGGTGCAATTTGATGCCAATTTGGCGCCCACAAAAATAAATGTCATATACGCAGGATAATCAGTAATCCCCATGGGAGACCTTTCATGGCAAAATTTGTTTTCTGGCACATGTTGTAGGGCCGATTTCGAGGTTAGTGAAATTGGCTCTCCAATAAAATCGAAGTGAATGAAAATTCCATTGCCCAGGATAGGTGCAAGTTGATGTAGCTTAAAGATAGCTTAAAGATCTCTCAAGTCTAAAAAAAGAAAACAGAAATCAGAAAACATAGAATGTTCACTAAATTTTTGTTCATAGCCCGTCAGCCACTGGTGGCTGACACTGGTCCGAAATGCACATCATCGCGTCAGCCACCAGGTGGCTGACATTGTCGCGAGTGGTTTAAGTTCTGCTCGATAAATACGAAGCTTTATGGGCGCTAGCCGTTGTGAAAACAAGGCGTCTTTGTCTCCCCAAGCATGCATTGTGCTACTACTCGTCACCAGCGAGAAGAAGGGTCAGTACGGGTAGATCCAAATTATCCACTCTGTAGATTGGGAAGCGAAACTTCTGTCGCTGAGCCACATCTTCCACTGACTATAAACAAACTTGTTAGTTTAGAGCCGATACTTCGTTTCGGCAGGCTGTGACGCATATCACCTCAAGATTGACAGAAATTGCGGGTTTTGTCTTAAAACCATGTTACGACAGCACGCGGTCTTTGGGCCTTCCACTATGGCTATTTTTGGAGCTTGTTAAACGAGCTGGGGGAAAATGGAAAAAAGGGGGCGTGTTAGGGCATGATTCATACAATAAATATAATCGCGCTCCCAGATAGCTAGACATTTTGAATGACGAAGTTCTGGAAATTCAGTTTGACCTGTTCTGGGAGAGTGGTGCAAACGATTTCAATTAATCACCGACATCCCTGCAATTCCTAGACTGTGTGCAGAAGCACCGTACTTGTGAAACTAGAGGCTCTACAGATTTACCAATCCTTTCATGTCTGTCTCAGTGGGCGCCACTTGAAAGGGGATGGGGAAGGAGACGAATTGAGCTTGATGCGTACTATTTATAACTGCGAATTTTATTATTATAGTAATCAAATATAAGGCTCGTTCAATTGTCGAGCACTTCATCAATCTCATGTCAGATTTTTATGTGTTTTTTTTTAGATCAACTGCGTAATAGCGTTGTTCTGTGTGGCGTTGTCAAACGGTTGGACTAGTCGACTGGCTTCGGTCATTGGTCTCATCTTCACTCTACTTTCTTTGATTTTTATTGGTGGAGCGATTGCTACGCTTTTTGCATGGAATCTCGCAGATATGTCGCTGCCAAAGGTTAGCTCTCTTACCTGAGAGATTTGTCACTCTGAGGGGTGTGGGATGAGGTATCCTGGTGATGACCCTCATGGTTAGTAACTGGCCGTATGAGATCCGCTCAGAAGCCTCATAATATCTTTTATTGAAGGTTAAGCCTTCATAAAAAGGTAACGGATTTAGTAACGCTCAGGATTCTGGTACTGTCTGGGTCCCACATAAATTGGGGTTAGCACAAGGCGACACTTTTCGTTTCGAACCCCGCGCTGTCGAAATATGTCAGTTTTGCATCTCGCTCTCGACGAATTGCTCCCTTTTCTCAGTTCCTTCTAGCTTTCTGCGGGATTTTCTCCAAAGTATGCTGGACTGGGTGACAAATATCCTGCCCGAGTGTGCTGTGAATATTGGGAAAATTAACCGGCCTGAAGATTGGAAGTGTGAATCGTACCTGGTTAGCGCTCGACCAGCCCCCCGGCAGTTTTCGGCAGTTGATTTAGAAGTATGGGAGCCGGGACTTGAAGTGGTCACGGATGCCTCTTTGAATGATTCTTTGTCTGGGTTCGTCCGTTCAAGAAGCGCGAAAGTGGCGCAAGAGTTGGTAACCAGACGGCTAAGGTTAGGGTTACAGGTGACCTAAATGGTTACGAGTTAGCCCCTATCGCGACGTGGATCAGCGGCGGCCATCAATTTTTTGTGACGGTCACTCTAGCGGATTACGCTGGAAATAATGTTAAATTTTTTCAGCGCTGTATATTCATGCTGGTTTTTATAATGACTATGATAGTCAGTGGTGTTATGTACTTGGTGGCGCCAACCACTTGTGATTCTTTCAATCAGTATGGATGCTTTCAAACCTACTATGGTGGCACATACAAAGTTGCTGCGGTATGTTTTATTTCAGAAATTTAGTTTATATTTTTTGCACTAAGAGAAATCTTACGGGTTTGGCACAATGATGATCCCCGACCGTCAGTAGTGTGAGTGGAGAGAAAGTATAACCGAGGACGCAGCAGATTTGTGTGTTGTGTGTGGAAGTGCTTATAGATATTTGGGAGGGAAGTTCGCGGTGGCAGTCACCGCGAGGGCGGCACGTTCGGACATCCCGCTTTAAGTGTCAACGAGAATTCGTAAGCCCAGAATTGAGGTAGCTTGAGGGAATCAAATAAGGTGACTTTGTACACTCATTGGTCGCCCTTTTTTTGTGGACGTGGGTAGGTTCAAGATATGCCAAAGCCTTGCATCTACCAGGAGTGGACCCCGGGTTCCTACAGCAGGACCGGTGCCCTATTGCAACTCTCGTGAAAATCATTACGTGCAAATACCATGAAGGTTTTGCTCCCACCTAACAGATGGTAGTCATAAGGGCTCTCTTGATAAGTTTGTAGACACTGGAAGACAAGAGATCGCATTGCCCTCTAAGAAATGCAAAAAATTCGCGCCAATCGGGAGTTGAACCCGGGTCTGTACCGTGGGAGGGTGCAATGATACCGCTACATCATTGGCGTCAGGTTTAGAAGGCACGCAAGCACGCGTGATTGTTTCCATTCCTTGAAGCTGTCAATGAGGATGGTTCTGAATGATCCTTGATGAGTGTTGTAATCACGCGGAAGAACGAGAATCAGATTGCCCTCGAGGAGAAATGTCAAGACTAACATGAAATGCAAAATTTTGCACCAACCGGGAGTTGAACCCGGGTCTGTACCGTGGGAGGGTACAATGATACCGCTACACCATTGGTGCTCTCGGAGCGAGAACTGGCTGCGCTCCCAATGAGCGTTTTATTTTTCGTCGCGTCTCCTGTCTGAACGAGTCACAGCTTCTATATCGATCAATTTGCAGATTTGGGTGCCACTAGTCGTATTTTTCATTTGAGGGATGGGCGGGGTCCGAAAGGGCAAATGTTTGGCACCCAAGAAAATCTAACGGGACTTATCGCTCTGTACGCTGCCGCCATTTCATGTCGATATTTCGAGAGAGGGTGGTGAGAATTTGCCTATGTGGCAATCTCCAATAACTTTTACATGGAGATAGAATGTTATGGGGTTTCTGGATCCGTTCTACTTGGCTCTTTTTTCTTTATTTAATTTATTTTTTATTTAATTTATTTGTGTTTTTTTATTTGGTTATTTCTAATATTTGTCCGATTAGTTAATTTTTTTAACTGCATGCAAGCGCAAAGAGGCTAGCAGAAAAGCGCAGTGTGCTTTTTTTTCTTTTGAACCGCCTGATTTCAGGCATTTTGTTTCATTTCCGTCGGATTCGCTGTAGTCGATATAGTTCTGAATTTCTTTTTCTATTATCGACGTCATACGGTAGCACCTACGTCGGTGTCAATACCTCCGCCAGAACCTCGTCCTCCTTCACCTTCTATAATTGAAGAAAAATACATGTAACTATTTTGATGATGAAGCGTACGTAATTAGTTTCTAAGCGTGATATTACGTCAAACGCTATTGATCGCTGGATGCTTATCCAAGAATTAATCTCAGTCAGGCTTCAAGTGTGCGCCGATGAACCTTCTCCGTTGAGGTCGTAGGAGCCGATTGCCAAGTGACTTGCAGAATTGGAACTCTGAACTCCTCAGTTCCCTTATCAAACATGGTTTTTGCATGTGCTAAGACATCAGTTTCCGGGCACAGTATGAAAGACACTGTTTTCCTCGCGTTGTGAAGATATACTAAATGGTACTTTGGGGCAAAATAGGTAAAATTGAAATTTGGTATACGGATAACGATAAACCCTGCGTAGTTACCATCAGGGTCAACCGCTTGACAAAGTCCAACGAGGGGGTCGTATTCGGCCGACGAAAAGAGGGGGTCGTATTCGCAAGGTCGGAGGCAGCGTCAATCCTACACCAACGGGGGTCGTAGTGTGACGCTTTACGCTTTGTGAGTGCTAAGAAAGAAAAATTTGCCGTTTCACTGTTGAGGAAATGTGGGTGGAGTTGGGCTGTGTCAACTGGTCTAAATACTATAGTAACAGCTCTGATGGTAAGGGTGGTGGTCGTTATTGGTGGACCTCCTGAGTCTCATGGTGGTGGAGGGGGTCGTGAAAAATTTCCAAAAAGTACCAACGGTAGGGTTGACCTGGGGGGGGGTCGTATCGAGGCCCTCCAGGGGGGGGGGTCGTAAAATTTTGAAATTTGTCCAACGTGACGGTTGACCCCTGTTACACTGGTGGAGTATAGCAAACAACGAAGTGAACTATTTACATAAACTTGTGTTATAGTTCCCAGTTACCACAGGGTTTATGGATCTCATAAGCGATCGATTTTGAGTAAGCATTTTTACCAGTTTTTTTCAAATTCAATGTGTTTTCAGCTCAGCTTCTATCTCTCTCGTATGACAACTGGCACAGCACCGGAGGTCTAAGCCTATGATGCTTTCTAGAACGATGCTTTACTTTTTGCCAACATCTGTTTTTTTTTGTTGTTACTGTATCGATGCTGTAATTAGTTCACACGTTTTATGCTCTCATGATTTTTTTCATATGTGATAACGTTTTTAAAATGGTGGACGAGATCCTCAACGCGCTACAGGTGTGCTTGGGCCCGCTTGTTAACGCCCTTGCTCCGGTAACGTACAATGACGTCATCAATACGCACCACCCTCCAGCCATCCGGATGCTGCCTTAAGCACAGGGAGAACTGTTCATGTCATTGAAAAACTTTTATGAGATGGTTTCAGATAGCGAGCGTGTGCCCTTAGGTTCGATTTTTAGTTTCCGTGAATGAGCATTTGAAAGCGCAAAATGGCGACGAATGAGCAGTTCACGATAGAGAACAACAATTTCAGAGAGTTCGTTTCGTGATCTATTCACTCGGGTAGTCACCGAGAAAACGCATAACCAGTTTCTCTCCTCGGCGCAAGGTGAATTTGCTCAGCTAGGAACTGGGCTCAACGGCCTTCTGATTCAGGGGTTGCTCACGATGTTTCTAGAGAAGGTATTGGTGCTTTAATAATATAAGAAGTTTGAGCAAAAAAGAGCGCAAGGAAGATTTTTATACCTAAAGGGAAAGCACTGCTGAATTTTAAAATTGAAGTACGCGAGAGAAAAAACTCGCGAAAAATCGAAGTTAACTGTAGGCGATTTCGGATACGGGGCGGGCAAGGAGAGCACGGTCCCTCTCAGCGTTTGCACTCGCTCAAAAATCGTACCACCTCCTTCCTCCTCTCAGTGGTTCCATACGAACATCACCCTTGGTGAGGGGTCCATATAGCTGCCTTGTTCATCACTTTCCGATCATCCCCGCCCCACCACCAGGATGATTTCCAAAATGTTGATTCTGAAACATTTGACACACTCCAATGTTCGGGCTTACTTCCCGCCACCGCCCCGCCCCCCCCTTCGCTCAAAATAATGCGCGTCAAAAGACAGCAAAATCCAATTCTGTCAACTTCGCGCTCTTTTTGTGGCGCTTTCACCAAAGTCTTGAAAAAATGAAGTAGTCCCATTTTTCGCAGGCTAGGGAATCTTCGGGTTGGGTGTAATAGCGAAAGCGAAATGGTTCACGCACCTCGAGAATTCCCTCCCATTGCAAAAATTGGAATTTCTGTTGGTGGCAAGAACTGCCACACCACATGTCCCCCTCCCCCTCAGTTACTGGATGATACTTGAAACTAGCCTGTGTTCATACACAACGTTTTGTGAGATTCGGAGAATCGGCGAAAGGGGTAAATTCGATACAATTGAATTGTTCATCAGGGTGATCAGAGACAAGTTGTAATCGATGTACCAGAGAAACCACCAAAAGCTACATTCGTTCTCCACGTTTTGGATGTGGATTTATACCGGTGTTTATACCGGTGAGGTGCCATTTTTGTGCAATGTCTGCGACCGCTACAGTAATTCCAATTGCAGGTAAAGCAACCTTCGGGTGGGTGAACTAGTTCGGTCGTCTAGAATAGAATTAAGGTGAGAATAAAAAAGATTCATGTACGAGTTTTGTAACCCCTTTGGTGCTCTGCTTCGAAGTGCCCTCATTGGAATGGACCCGTCACTGGGATTCTCTTGCCCTGCGAGTACCAAGGTCAACGATTCGCAGAGAAAAAATCCAGTCAGGAAATCGTTTCTTGGAGAATTCTCGAAATTTAGACGAAAATTCCACAAAAATTACGATGTAGGGAAAATCACAGCATGTTTTTTCCAATCACTTTACAGCGCCACGCTCGAAGAGCAGTTTTGAGGAAATATTTTGAGGTGGAGTTACTGCGTCGTCTCGCACTAAGATATTATAGAAACAGTCATGAAGTGGAGATAAGAGGTCGTTGGGTGACCCTGGGTGGACTGTCATGAACTTTTTGAAATCAACTCAATGCGATGGTTGACACTGTACCCTCCGTGGCCGCTTCTTGGAATTTTTATGAACAGTAAGACTAAGCAATTCCGCTTTTGTAGTACTTTCTGGGGCTCTCACATATGCACACTATTACCTCTGAAAAGCTCAGGTTCCCCTGTCTTTCAAACTAGATAGGCCGTACGATTTTCCATCTAGATCAATATCTAGCTTTGGTCAAAAGTCTTCTAACGATGGTCACGCCACGTTTTCTGGCTGTTCTGAAAAAAAAATTACGACCCCCTTCCTCTGAGAGGGGGCTGCCTCAACACAACCCTTCCCCACAAGCCTTGCGGCTAACTCTCAAAGCACCCCCCCCCCTCTTTCCGACCGCGACCCTCACTACCATGGCTCTTTGTAGAGTGTCTACATCCGACCATGAGACCAGTCGACACACTAACCACCCACTTCTTTTCACCTCCGGGAGGGTGGAATTCAACCACTTCATGTTACTTCATCGAATTTCCACCAAAATCAAAAAAGAAAACCTCCAAAAGACCCTTCTCCCGCCACCGCAATCATCCAACCTCCAAAATTACGACCCCTTTTTCGACTTTGACCATCCCAGCAGCTCCTATACGACATTCTCCCCACCCTCCCCCCCAGCCCCCCCTCCTCCGAAAGAAAAAACTCAAGCGAGACGCTCGTGGAGGAGCGGCGCAGTGCCACAGCGACCGCGACCCTCCGCTGAAAGCTGCACAGCGCGCAGCTAGCCGTCTTGTACCTTGTTTGCCGCACCGCGATGTGTGACGTCGGCTATGTTGTATGTTCTGCAAGTTGCACCTGACTACAAATGATTTGACGACAGTGAAACATGTGCAAGAGATTTCACTCATCATTTACGTTGTGATATTTGTGTCGCTTGCTGTGTATGCGAATTAGTTTGTCGAGCTATTTCTCGCTGTTTTTCAATTGTCAGTGGTTGTGCTGAAGTCCGACTATCGGCAGACTTTTCTGGATAAGCAGTGGTGATGATTCGCAACTGTTTGCTTCTTCGTGATGTTACATTAGCTCATTTCTTTTTCACAGTCGCATCTTTTCACTTAATTGATATGCTCCAATTTGATGTTACATACCAACAGATGACTGATTGCCGCAGTCTTCGTGACTGCTTATTGGAGAACGTCGACGATTTGGAGTTCATCACCAAACAGGTGCGCCTTCTATTCATTTTATTTTTATTCGTTTACTTCGCAATCAACCAATGATCGCGTTTCAAAAAGGAGGTCTTTGGAGCACGGAATTTTTCGACTAACCTTGTGAAATAAACAAAAAAGGAAACAACGAAAAAAAAACAGTATAGGGTGGTATGCTTTCAGTTTGGCTCGTAAAGCCACAAGCCAAGATGTCACAAGACTTTATTCGGCTAACGTTATGGGGTGGGTGTTTTTTGAGGAAGACCACGTTAGCTAGCCGAGATATAGAAATCTCTTCCAAGGGCCATTGCGGCTACGCGCATGTACCCATCTCCTTTTTCCAATTTCCCAAAAATGTTATAACTTCACCAGGAACTTAATTATTGGGAGTAAGTGTGCTATTTGCCGTGTCGAATAGATTCACCTAGACACTCCAATGCGCATGGGCTGGGGCTCTCGAAGCCAAACGTTTCGCGCTGCGCAACGTGAAAAGTCGCTTTCTGTCCTAGTGAACCACATCCCACGGGGGGTCTGTGCTAGCGTTGTAGGAGGGCAAACGGCATCATCTCCTTTATCTCCAGAGATAGGATCCGCGGAAGGATGCGCGACCTTGTTATCCGGAACTCGATCGATCCGTCGTAGAATCTGCAGAATAAGGGCAACCATGCCTCCGCATGCTGTTGGTCTGGGTTCAATTTCCTTTCGTTACCTCAACCTTGGGGCAGAAAAGAGTCCTTCATCTTTTTTTTCAGTGAAACTGTTCCCTACTTTCCGCGTTTGTTTGCGTTTACACACATATATACATACAAATATGCAGTTCCTCAGGGTGATTATTGTAGGGAGACAAAGAAAGTCTGAAGGGGTTTTTGGTCTCCTAGACTCGGGGAAAGATAGGACACGTGTAGAAGGGTCGAGAATCTGTTAAGGATTTTCAAAAGTTTGTCATGCCGTTTAGGAATCTTTGTCATTCAAGTCATCATCTTTATCATTGCGTATGTGCTCATGTCTTCCTATTCATTTTTTTGATTAGT